CGGCCGGAGGGACGCGGGCAGGCGGGCGAGGGGCGCGTGGGGTCCGCGGCCGCGAGGAAATAAATGCCTCTGCGGAAAACCGGGTCGAGCCTGGGCCGGTGGCGGCGCGGGAGGCATTGCGGCGTGCAGGGGGAGGCGAGCGCTGCCCGGCGCGGGGCGCCCCGCTGCTGCAGCGCGGTCGCCGCTGCGGCCATCGGGATGGAGGGACGCAGCAGGCCGGGGAGAATCGGGGCACCCAGGGCTCCTGGCGGGGTTTTGTGTGTGAAGGGGCTCTTTGCCGCGGTCCCCTTTGACAGGTGGGAGCTGCAGCTAGGGAGCAGTGTGGAAATTCTCTCGCGCCCCTGCTGACCGCTAGCTCGGCCCTCCGATTTTCCAGGGGCTGGATGAAGGTGGGAGAAGTACCTGCCGCTGTGGGCAGAGGTGTCTGGGAGCAGATCACTGTAGGGAGGGGGAAGGGCGCACAGGGCTGCGAGTGGAGGTCTCCCGTCTGGCCTTGCTTTTTGGCTTTTGACAAGACCCTCAGTTGCCTTCAGTACGAATGGACCCTGCAAAGACCCTGTGTCTTGCTTTAGGAACTGCGGAGGATAAATGTGGGAAAACAGGAATTTCTGGGAGAGAGGGAGATGAACACATGACCTAGGAGAAGCATCTGTGTAGGGAAGAGCTGAATTAAGTTAATGTTAAGGAATGTGATAGGTCTTTTACTCTGCAGAAAACAGAAAAGGAGAAACAATTTATGATTTGGAAACGAGGGACACAGGACAGAATGAACTATTTCAGAATAAGAGGCTTAAGTTTTGGGGGTGTTTTTGGTTATTATTTTTGATGTAGCAGACTGACAAGAATTTATTTCTCATTTGAGTTTGAAAACTGTTACTAAAATATGATTAAGATTATTTGAAAGAGTCTAACCACACTTGTTATTTCATTTCCTATAATGTTACTTAGAATGTCCAGAGTCAACAACCATGTTTTGGTGATAAATGTGGTATTACGTGAAAAAGCCCCAATAAACGAACTTAAATGAACAAACACCTTATTTGGCTAAAGAGAGGCTGCACGTTTAAGTGTATCAATAAAAACACAAAGAATTTAGACTGTGAAACTTGATACTATTTTTTATATATCAGTTCTTATAGTTAATTTTTCTCTATGAAATTGTTTTGTTATTTTTGAAAGTATAGGCAAAATCCGGCAATATAAAAAAAATCCAACGGTACTTGCACCAGATAACCATGTTAACACTCTAATCCATCAAAGTATCTTTCTAAACATTTAACATATCCTGCAATTCAATATGCAATTAAAGTTGCAATTTCATGCAACTATAGGATCAGAAGTTTTGTATACTTATTTTTTATACCTCATTGGGGTCTTATTTTCTGTGAATGATTATTTAAATTAACTTTTGCTACTAAACCTAACTATCACAAAGTATATAGTGAAATGTAACCACATAGGATTGAGCAGTGAGTAATAATATTCCTAAATCATCTAGCTGTCATTTACTTCATAAATGTCAATGTTTGCTTGTTCTTTCTTGTAGATCCATCTCCTGAATTTTAACTTTTCAAGATGAAGTTTCTACTGGCCATTGCCTTTTTTATTTTAATTTCTTTGTGGGTTGAAGAAGCCTATTCCAAAGAGAAGTCTTCAAAGAAAGGGAAGGGGAAAAAGAAGCAATATCTATGTCCATCGTATGTCCTACATGTCTTATATTTTTATATGGAGAAATATTGTTGTATTTTAAAAAAACTCAAATTACGGTTATTTATTGAAACATATCAGTAAAGTATGCACTGGCTTGGCTTGCTTCATAGGTAGAAAATGACAGGGTGAATAGAGGTTTAGAATGTGATAACTCTCATTTAAATTTAAATTTATAAAGTTTTATTCTTGCACTGGGCTTATATATTTTTTATAATCTTTTATAAGTGAAGAAAAGGGAATTACTAATTTTTTCTTATCCTAAATGTGCAACATTAATTGATTTCTGAGAGTCCCCATTTTGCACAGATTTCAAAAAGTTGACTTACAAAACATTCCTAACTAATGAAAACTCATGAAAAAATGAAATAGCTAAGTTATATTTTTAAGGTCTCTAGTTTATATTAATGCACAGCAGAAGAAAATTCACAGAGTAGATCAATTTTGCATTTCAAACTTTTTTGAAGGTTAGGCAATTGGGATATTTCTAAAAAAAAAAAAATTGTCATTAAATTTGAAATTGCTTCTAAAACAGAATCTGAATCCAGATCATCTACCTTCCCATCACCTTCAAAGATTTGTGTGGTATGGATTCTGTTCTTTATTTTCTATTAGGAAGAGTTCATCTTACTGGTACATAACAACAAATAATATCCAATATGTAAACAACTGACCAGCATAGAAATGAATAACTTTCACAAAAATATAAAGCACTTTTAGATAATAATATAACCTATGCATCAATGTGGAATGAAGATTAATTTCCTATATACGTCATTTTCTATTAAGATTTCTTCAATGCCATATTGATTATGGATAGCATTATTCCAGCATCATCTTTAAATGTAGGTTGTTACAGTTTTACAGTGTCCTGTAAGCGGTATTAAGGCACATTTTTGGAAAGAATACTTTGTAACGAAAAGATATTAACATTGGTGTCTTGGATACCTATATCCAATCTGCAATCTGGGAGACAGTATCATACTCTAGTCAAGTCTAGCATTAAGTAAAGCTCCTTTTAAAGAAATATCTCCTGAACTTGAGCTTCAGTCATCCTGCCTACACTATTCCACAGTGTGATGTTGGCACCACCAGACTTTTGAGTCCATGGTAGAATGGCCCTGAGCTATTTTCATGTCACCTCTGGGCTATCTCTACCCTTGGGTATGGGGTATGTGATGGTGCAAATACAGAACTAACCCCCACCTTCACTGTTAGTATTTTTGTTATGCCATATCCAGGAAATTAGAATTTTAGGGATATTATTAGACCTTATTCTACCCATAAAAGGATATATTGTCTTGGCCCTCCCTGTTGGCGCAGCAGGTTAAAGCACAGCACTGAGAAGCTTAAGCCACTTCCGCATGAGTTCGATTCCCGCGTGCCCCGGGAGGAGTCCACATGGCATGGCAGGCCTCTCCTGACCAGCCCGCTGCTCCCCTCAGCAGTGTACTTCGTTGATCTGCCTGTTCTGCTCCCCACTCTGTCTCTGGTGAATCCTCTCACCCTCCGCATCTCTGGCCTGTACCCCAGTTCTATATGAATAAATAAATCTTAAAAAAAAAGGATATATTGTCTAATTGGATGAGTGTCATCCGTTGGATGACACAGATATTGCATATGACTTGTAGTCATGGTAATTGTAAGTGTGGCATGAAGTCATCTCGGATACATTAGGTTTCTCTTGTGAGGATACTTTTGGTCTGTTGACCTCTACTTCCAGTCCCCCACTAAATATCATGAATCAGAGAGTTCTAGAAGGTGGTTTCAGGAAGCCTTATAAATACCCTTTATGAATCTTTTTGGGGATGTTTTGTCGCTTTTTGAAACTACATTATTCAATCATCTTAGAGACAAACTTCGCATGTACTAATGGTGTATACGTTGTTTAAGACAGACTTTCAAAGGTAAATGTAGTTCATAAAGAATGAGACTATAAAGTTTTTTTTTTTTTTGCTGAATATGGAAATCTCCCACTGGAAATGCAACATATATCCATCTGTAAGCCTGTATCACAGTATTTTATATTGAGTAGTTAGTTGAAATTTTATCTTTAATGTTTTCTACTACTTTTTAAAGTTTATTTTACTTATATTTTATAATTATGAGATTAGCCAAAGCTTTGTGAACAGCTACCAGAGTGGTAGTGCCCAAATCTGATGTATTGGAAAGTAGAAGTACCATGGAGAACTAGGTGTGAATATTGTTTGTTTGCTTATTTTATTAAGAATTTTGATTTTTTTAATTGCTGAATTGTTACCTAGAAAATTAGAGTTTTCTCTGAGTTTGATTGAACCCATTCTATTAAATTTCTTTGAACATCATGTTAAGAATCTCAGTTATAGTGATATGCTGTGAATGAATAAGCAAATTTGTATCTTTGGAATGATGCAATTTGCACATTCTGTATAAGCTGATTAAATATAAAACATTTTCAGTAAGAGGATATTTGAGATCACAAAATGGTGAAGTTCCTGCCCAGTGATACCTTGATTTATTAGCATTTATTTTTTATTGAGTAGTTAATGAAGCGATGAAGTTGTTAGAGACAGGTAGTTAATGTGTTGTATAAGTGTAGCAAACATGAGCAAAATTTCCCACTTTACTGTTATAATAATATTTTCCTCCAAAATAGTGTGCATAGAGGGAAAAAATGTTTGAAACTATAGAAGAAATAAAGGACAGGGCTCTTAGCCCTCTAAGGTACAATCTTGATGCTGAGTTAGCAATGCACAGACTTTTCCTGTCTGCTACTTTTTAAAATTCACATTATTTTGAGATGTCATAAAATAATACATATTCGGTTATTTTCATTGACTTTTGCCTTATAAGTGAAGCAGCAGTACCACATTGACAAGCTGCTTGCTAGATTTGCTTCATCATTTTTAGAGATTTAATATAGTATTAATATTTATACATAAAAAATAAGCTTAAAATTAGTAAACCATATTTTAGATGAAATCCTTGGATACACTTTTTACTTTACAGCTTGAATTTGACATTGATCTAAATCTAAATTAATTCCTCTGACTTTGTATATGTTATGGCTGAATGATTTTATTCAAATCGACATGCCACTGTGTCTACCGATATGCCACTCTTAACTGCCACATCTGTATGTGGATCCCAGCCCTCCCTGAAGAATGCAATTTCTATACATCCAGCACTTTGACCTGGCTAGCCTATCTTGACATCAGACTCACCTTAAAATGATCAAACTTGGAAAAATAACACCTGCCCCATCACACCTAACAGTATATCCTATTGCAACAAAAGATGCCGCTCCTTCCTTTCTTATCCAAATTGAAATCCACTTTACATGTTCTCCCTCTACCTTCGCTTCATAGTTAGTATTCCCCACACCTTCTCATTCCTTTGCCATCTCTGTCTTTCATTTTCAATTCCTGTGGACACTGCTTTACTCCTTCCCTGCCTTTTTGTAAATTCGTGCTGCAGTGGCTGCAGTTTGCTTCATAGTGCTACACTTTAATAAATCCATTGCGCCACCAGGGAGGACCCCATTTTGGTAAATTCTTTATTAGTCTCCCCGCTTTTTGTCTTCCTCCAGCAATTCCATACTAATCATTGGGTATGTTTTCTAAATCTTCAATCTAGTCAATTCAGCATTCTAGTGTTTAGAATATTTTCAGGTACTTTGTAGCTTTCTGCGTAAGACTGATTTTTTTGGCTCCACACAGCAAATTTCTTGCAGAGCTGGGCTTTGTTATTTTGATTTTGTTTTTAGGAGTTTTATTTTTCATTCATTTTTTAGTATTTTCATAGTTAAAGTAACACTGACTCACAGCATTGCATATAATTCACAAATGCAGGAGTCCACCTCTTCGATTGTTTTCTACCCAACACCATCACCTTTCACTATGGATTACACTCTGATAGCTCTAGCAGAGTCTTTCCATACCAGCTTCTGCCTCTTCCCAGCCACACTTACTTCATCTCACGCATACTTACTCACTTTCATTATTTCTGGCAAACATGTTCTGCAATCATCCCCTATAACTGTGTGTTATCATCAGTGGTCTCTTTCCCCACTAGATTATGAGCTCCTTGAAAGGAGTGTCTTTCTCAGTCATTAGAGATGAAAACAGTACCTGGAAAAAACTTTGCACAGTAAAATATTTCTAAAGAGTGATTAAAAATCTAAAGGTTGCCAAGTCATTATATCTGGATTTTACTAAGGTACTTTAACTTTTATTACTCCTACAGATATTTAGAAATGTGATCTCCAATTCAGACAAAAATGGTTGAGTCAACCAGACAAACAGAATATCTTTAGGCTGGATAATGATTCCTGTGAAATATTGACCTTCTGGCCAGAATTTTATCAAGGAGTCAAGTAGAATGATGCAGAGCAAAAGAGTCATCCACATGTAGGATAATGTAAGATTGAAAAATATTATGAATATGTGATCCTAAATTTAGCTATAGGATCCAGTATGACCTTTAAGAGCTAAAGTGATGGGCTGAATCCAAAAAAGATCAAAGTACCAGTTGTACTTTGGTCTAGAAATTATTGTGCTGGTTCAACTATAAGATGAAGAAAATAGTTTGGTAGAGCATCTTTAGAAAAAATATTTGATAGTATTGTGATTATGCTATAAATAAATGTGAATATGTGTGTGTGTGTCTATCTGTAGCTCACAAAAGAGTAGCTTTGTAGTTATGATGGAAATTAGTACTTTAGTAACTAATTATGCATTACTTACTTGTTAGAAAATTATTTAAAGCAAGTTTTCTAGTTTCCAGGACGTACTCATTATTATTTTCATTGAGAGAAATAAGAATAGTTAAGGCAATAGTGTCATGGTAGGAATTGCTGAAGGAACTGAAGCATGTCAAAGGTGTCTGCAGTTTTTCAGACAATCGTGATGTAGATGAGACCGTTAACTTTGCTTCGCACAGGACTAATGAGTAGAAACTTCAAGGAGGGCACTTTTTGCTTTAAATTAGGGAGAAATTTCTAGATATAATT